GCGTGGCGCGAAAGCAAGAGCCACGTTTCGAAAAGATGCCGCGCTCCATCCGTGGAATTCTTGCAAATGTTCAATCAAAGCCAATGTGCGTGGCGTTAATGCGAGAGCCACATATCGAAAACCACTCGCCATCCATCCGTGAAACTCATGCAACTGTTTCAGACGAGTGGGCGGCGCTAAGGCAAAAACCACATTTTGAAAACGGCCCGCCCTCCGTCCGCGAATGAATTTCAAACTTTTAGGACGAATGTGCGCGGCGCTAAAGAGAGAGCCACATTTGGAGAATGGCCCGCCCTCCATCCGTGAAGCTGTTACAAGCTCTCAGCTTAAGGATCACACATGGTGAGGAAGTCTCGGGCGAAACGCCCGGTCCGCCCTACCGACACGCTTCGGGGTGCGACAGGGAGGAGTTAACTATAAGGAAAGGAGGAGGAACGGGACAGGAGGAGGAGGAGGGTTAGAAAGGAGAGGGAGGAGGAGGAGGAGGAAGAGGAGGAGGAGGAGGAGGAGGAGGAGGAGGAGGAGGAGGAGGATCAGTGCAAACCCAGGACCCATCAGCGATGCTGGAGTAACCCTCCCTCCGAGCTCCCTTTTCATCGGCTCCTAGAAGGGTTCATTTCCATCGAGGGAACTGCCTCGTTGGGGGACAACCGTTTGAAGCCCCTGAAGCATACCAAAACACCAGTCTCGGGATCCTACCGCCACGAATCAACCTGAGTGTTGCGTCTTGACGGTCCTGAATCGCACCCAAACACCATTCCTGTGATTTCCACACCGCCAATCAACGTCACTGCGGCATCCTCACAATCTTGAACCCTTCAAACACACAATTTTCTGGTACGCTGAACATGGGACTCTGTGCAATTCTCGTGAATGTTTCAAAAGAATGTGCGCGCCGCTACGGCGAGAGCCACATGTTGAAAAGGAGCTGCCCTCAACCCGTGAAGTTCTTTCATTGTTTTAACAAATCGCGGCGCTAATGCGAGAGCCACGTAAAGAAAACGGCCCGCCGTCAATCCGTGAAGCTCAAGCAACTGTTTCAAACGAGTGCGTGCGGCGCCGAAGCGAAATCCGCTTGTTGAAACGGCCCGCCTTCAATATGTGAGATTCTTGCAACTGTTCGAAAAGAAAGTGCGCAGCGCTAATGCGAGAGCCACAGTTCGAAAAGGTACCGCCCTTTATCCGTGAAACTCTTTCATTTGTTTAACGAGTGCGCGTGGCGTTCAGGCGAAAAGTACATCTTGAAAACGGCCTGCCATCTATCAGCGAAGCTCTTCATAACTTGTGCGGCGGATTAACGCGGCGATCAGCAGAGAGCCACACTTGGAAAGCAGCCCGCCCTGCGTCCCGTGAAACAATTGCAGACTGCCAGCTTAAGGATCACAAACGGTACGAAGGTCTCGGGCGAAATGCCCGGCCCGCCCTGCCGACATGCTTCGAAGTGCGACAGGGAGAAGGGGCAGAGCAGGAGGAGGAGCAGGAGGAGGACGAGGACGAGGACGAGGATGAGGACGAGGACGAGGACGAGGACGAGGCGGAGGAGGAGCAGGACGGGGTTGCGGATGAGAATGTGGAGGAGGAGAAAGAGGAGGAAGAGGAGGAAGGGGAGGAGGAGGGGAGGAGGAGGAGGAGCAGGAAGAGGAGGGAGCGGAGGAGGAAGAGGAGGGAGCTGAGGAGGAGGGAGGGAGGGAGGGAGGAAAGGGGGTGTAGAAGGAGGTGGGACGAGGATGTGAAGGAGCAGGAGCAGCAGCAGCGGCAGCAGCAAAGGCCGAAAAGGCTTCCGAACCTCAGCCAGGAGCGCCCGCCGGTGCCAGAGGGAGCTGGCCAGCGGGCCGTAGGGGCGCCGCCGAACACCGGGCGCGGCGAGGCAGCCGGGCCACAATCGGGGGGCCTTGGTCCTTGCCGCATCTATCCTTGCAGTAGGCACGCCATACGAGCAGGGGCCGCCACGAGGGGACGAAGTCGTTCGCGCTTCGCGGTTCGCGCCTTTCTCCCCTCCTCCTCCTCCTCCTCGTCCTCCTCCTCCTCCTCCTCCTCCTCCTCCTCCTCCTCCTCCGCCTCCTACCCCTCCTCCCCCTCTCCCTCCTCCTTCCTCCTCCTCCTCCCTCCCCGCGTCCTCGTCCTCCTCCTCCTCCTCCTCCTCCTCCTCCTCCTCCTCCTCCTCCTCCTCCTCCTCCTCCTCCTCCTCATCATCATCATCATCATCATCATATTCCTTCTCCTCCTCCTGCCCGTCCTCCTTTGCCCCCGGGGAGCGGCGTGAGAGTGCGACGCTGTTCGCACTCCGCGCAGCGCGAAGCGTGAACGTAGCTGCCCTTAAATCAGAAGCTGGTCTGCCAGCGGCCTGCCAGCGGGTGCCCCACGATGTTGTCTGCTGTTTCCCGCTGGGGCCGCAGAGCCTCTGTTTGCACCCTGCGAAGTGCAGGGGGTCGACGAGGGATGTGCCCTCGGACTTCCTACGGCTTCTTATCGCACGCACTTGATTTACGTAAGACGGAAGAGAAAGAGGAGAACGAGGAGTAGGACGAGGAGGAGAACGAGAAGGGAGGAGGAGGAGGAGGAGGAGGAGGAGGAGGAGGAGGAGGAGGAGGAGGAGGAGGAGGAGGGAGGAGGAGGGGGAGGAGGCGGAGGAGGATCCTTTATCTACAGCCAGGAACGCTTGCTCAGCCTGGAGAACCAACATCGGTATACGCATAGACTTGCGGAGCTCCGAGCGGATTTCTTGGGTCGGCGCCGGAGAGGCGGCGGGGGGGCTCCCAGAGGAGGGAGCTCGCGAATCGAGCTTGCAGGGCGGGGGCTTTGTCGATGAGCAAGGAAAGCGACACCACCACCAGCGCGAAGAGCCAGAGGGGGTCTGTCTGATGGTGTGGTCCCCCCCCCCTCCCCGCTCGAGACATCTCCAAGGGGTCTGTGCGAGGGCGCGAGGGCGCGAGGATGAGCGCGGTGTGCGGTGACCAAGAGTACGTCAGCGCCACCGAGGCGGGCACCCAGCAACTGGCACTTCGGCAGCGCGTAGGACAGCGGCGGGGACGTGGCAGGAAGGGTGGCACGCTTCGCGCGGGGAATCGCGGGAGAGCGGCAGGAAAAGCGCCAGCTTCTTGCATCGATCAAGGCCCCTGTCTACTCCGCGCCCACCATGATGGCGCTCAGTCCCCCACGTCCTTCTGGCAGACCCTCGTCGTGTGTCGCGACGCTGCAGCGACCCCGCCGTGAGCGGTCTGAGGTCGAACGCCGCCAGCATTGGCCCAGAACCAGCCGATGTGGAACGATCTGGCGATCGAAAGGCCACCGGTCGTTCAAGGTTGAAGGCGCGGCGTCAGAAGCCTATGCATGGGTCGTCATGGCACAAATCTGCCGTAAGGGATTGGCGACTCTTCTCCATACGACATGTGGGGGCAAAACTAGACAAGCCGAGGCAGGTCGACGTGATCTGGTGCAAGTCCAGATGCATCTGGTCAGATCCAGAGATATTCCAGACGAGTCTGACGAAATTGTGGGGGCTCTAGTGCGCGTCGACGGAAAGCAGAAGTCGTGGAGCCCTCAACGACCCAGGGGGGCCCATCGGCGTCGCGGCGCTCCCCTTCCCAGACCGCTCGCGTCGTGCCAACATCACGACGGTGGGGTTTGGCGGATCATTTTCGGCCCACAGGGGGCCCAAGTGGGGCCCCCTGGGCCGTCAAGAAGCGGCCAGGATGAAGAGCCGACCCAGGGGAAGTGGTCGAGTTTTCCGGGCGGCCATGCTGTGAGCAGATCGCGACGTCGGAGGTTTTTGGTCGACGCGCCCCCGCTCTGGAGCGATCGCCAGCGCGAGAGATTCCCTCAAGGGGGGGTGCACAGTCGGGGTTGGCTCGAGGGCCAATTCCGCAGAGTCAGGGGTACCCGTATGTCCCATCTATCGCGCTCCATGTCCTGAAGAAGAAACATTGGCAGAACCACGAATTTTTGGAGGCTCATTATTTATCCCCTTTCGCGTGCGCCACGCTCGCTCAACTTTCAGGCCGCGGTTCAGTGTCTGAGCTCGCCTATCGCAGGTCGCTTCGTGTGGTGTTCTCGGTTTGCTTGGTGACCTGTTGATTCGCGCAGCGGTCGACGCCGAGTCGGGTGAAACGCTGTGGTCGCGCTTCCTCCCCCTTGACAAGAACGGACGGAGGCCCGCGCGGATGTCCTGCATCGGCGCTGGGCCCCCGGCCCGCTCCGCGCGCCAGGGAGGGGGCCCCCAGCGCCGATCCAGGAAGAAGTCCGCGCGCACGTGCGAACGATTATGCTTCTGTATGCTTCTGCTATCTTCTGTTCCTCCTCAACGAGGTGGCGACCCCCCTACATCCCAGTCGTCCGCCGAGATGGCTTTCTCAATCCGCGGCCCACGAAGTCCCGACCGCTTCTTGGGGGGCAGCTTTCGCCCTGGGGCCATCCTTGATGGCCCGGGGGCCCGAGAACCTCCCCCGCGGGCCGACATGAAGGAAAAACATTCAGACTGATTTTTTTTGCTTTGGGCGATCCCCGCCAACAAGCGCGTGGTGGGATACCCTGTGAGCACCGGAACACGTTGGGCCTGGCGGTCGCGATAGGCAGGGTGTGCAGTAAGTCTAGCAACCCCAACCTGTCAGCTGGGGGTAATGATATGAGCTACGGAAGGAAACGGATTCGTCTTCGCCGACATTGGCATGTAAGCTTCCCGCGTCAGATCGCGCGTAGGCGCCCTCGTTTCCAATGTAGCGTGCCACGCTTGCGGCCCGCGTAAGCCGCCGCGTAAGGTCGCCATGCCATCTCGCGCGCAGTGTGGTCATTTCTAGCTCGTGGGCACGGCACCATCGCCCCCATCCAGTTGGCATCCCTCGTTTCTAAATCGGGGCCAGACTTGGAAATGACCAAAATTGGAAATGACGCGTGCGTGCGTGTGTGCGTGTGTGCGTGGAGGACCCCGTTCCCTCTCGCCGCTCGTCTCGCCGGAGATCTGGGACTCTGGCTGGCACCTCCACGTTGGGAACAGCCCTGCGCAGGCGGGCGCCCCGGCGCCTCGCCGGCGCCGGCTCGGCGGCGGCGCCGCGAGCTGCGGCGGGGACGACAGCCACCCGCACGAGGCCGGTCTCCGGAGGGGGGATCCCCCTCCTTCCCCCCCTCTCTTCCTCCTCTCCCTCCTCCTCCTCCTCCCTCCTCCTCCTCCTCCTCACTCCTCTCCTTCTCTCCTCCTCCCTCCTCCCTCCCCCCCCCTCCTCCTCTCCTCTCCTCTCCCTCCTCCTCCCTCCCCTCTCCCTCCTCCTCCTCCCTCCTCCCCTCCTCCCTCCTCCCCCTCCTCCTCCTCCTCCTCCTCCTCCTCCTCCCCTTCCTCCTCCTCCTCCTCCTCCTCCTCCTCCTCCTCACCTCGTGCTCCTCCCCCTCCGCCTCCTCTTCCTTTTCCGCCGCCTCCTCCGCCTCATCATACTCCTCCTCTGCCTCCTTTTTTGGGGACAGCGTTGGCTTGCTAGAGCCGTTGCGTCTTGGTGGCAGCGATCCGACAAAACAATTGTTCGGAACGCAGCGCTCGATAAAACAAAGGTCAGGCCCTGGTACCGCAGCATCGCGCGTCGGCGAGAACCAAAATATGCACGACAGTTGGGAGCAGCAGAGATTCAAGATATGCTGCAACGCCTGGGTGTGGCAAGGACGATTCCCCCCCTCCACTAAACCCCTCCCATCTACCCGACCCTCCCAAAGAGCATGTGTGGCCCTTAACCAAAATCTACAATGCACACTGCATAGGGCCTCAGTTCTTCTGCCCTGAGCTCGATTCCAGCCAGTGTACCGACGCCCGTCGAGCTGGATTGAAACGGTGCCGAGGCCGAAGGTCCTGTCGGTCAACACGCTCGCAGCGGTCGGCACGCACGGTGTGTGATTGTCCCCCCACCAGCAATAATCGCACAATTCTCATAGCCACCACCTCCACCTCCACCTCATCCACACCGCCCCCTCTACGCCTCGGGCACCAGACTGGCGGCAGAAAGAAACGGCCTTCCGCACACGAAAAACAGCTGAGAGATGCTGACCCCGTGGTCTTCAACGGTGGCCACGTGCTTCAGGGGCCCACCATCGTGTCTAGGAGTTCGGAGGCAGAGCGGACCGAAGAGCGGGTCTACGCTCAGCCGATGTTCGTCTCGGCAGCCGCTGCGCCCGAACAAACGCGACAACGTCACAGTGCTCTGTCCTCAGCGGGTTGCACAGGAAGCAACCGAAAACCCGCAATGACTGCAATCTTCTGCTCATTCTACCGCTCTCATCCTCACCGTCCGTCGCACCGATATAGGCAACGACGCTAAGCAGTGTATGCATTGTAAGGCTGGCGCCGCTTGCACTGGCTGGCCTGTTTGGCACCAGTATGTGGCGCGACTGTCTTACTGGATCGATATTTAAGCTGGTGCAATGCTGCTTATGTGCAGGTTGGCTGGCGTGGCAGAGTCAACATTCAGGCGATATCCTCCCCCTCCTCTCCCATGAACTGATGTACCACCACCTCCCCCCTCCAAAGAGCCGAAAGTCGGATGCCCCAGGTTATTGAAAAGACCGTTCGGGGTCGTTTGAATCTAGGAATCTGGAAGTGGCAGGTCTACAGGTGTTGAGATGTGGACTCGAACGCGTAAGTTAGGTTTAATGCTCGTGGAGGCACAAATTGCACGGTAGTTTCACGGATGGCACGATTGAGGCAAACGTGTTGTGCTTCCACAGCCTCGAATTGTCCAGTTGGGTTTGGACAGCCAGGCATGGCGTGACGTCGTCGCGTTATTGTGTCATCCTCCAGCGCCTCCACCTCCCCCATCGTAACCACACCTCCTCCTCCTCCTCCTCCTCCTTCTCCTCCTCCGTCTAGGGCCTGACAAGAGCACCCCGACTGGAAAGAAATGCGGCCGCGTTGATGCTTTTCGGAACGACACAGTGCACCACGCAAGTGGGAAACAGCTCTGCTCTGGTCTGCAGCTCGCGGTCAGCGCTCGAGCACCTCATGTTCCTCCAACGTCACATTCCTCCTCTCACCCACAAGCCCCCCCCCCCACCTCCAACACCCACGACGTAAAGACAGCGCTCGGAGAATGGTGCCTATCGGGGCCTTCTTAGCAGATGGCGATAAGCAAGAAGATGCAGACAATAATATGGTATTGAGATGGGTGTGCAACAAACTATCGGCCTGTCTCTTCGTACCATCTCTAAAGCGCTAAATGTAACATGTCTGCGTCAACGTATATACTTCCTAAACTGGTTCCGCTTCCGACAGTGAGGCGCTCGCACAATTCATCTTCTGCGTATCCATCTTTCTCTTTTCGAATCATGCCAATCGCTTGGTGAAACCAAGTATGCAACATGCCAGGAACGTCGTCGGCTTCATCACGCATCTCGCCGTACGCGTCGAGCACATAATGGTAAACTGGCAGCGGGGGCGACAACAATTTCACAACAACGCTATTCTTTGGTACCTCTAACTTTTGTGCGTCTGGGCTTTGAACTTCAGCCTGGCTGTGGGTTTTCGAGGTGTAGTGGACAGCGCCTCGGGGCCTCAACCTTCCCTTGCCGCTGCTGCAATGGATTAACAGATTTCAGCCGTATCTGCGCAATGAACTGTACAAGAAACGTCTGCTGCGTGGGTTTCCGAGGATGTCAAAGACAGCGCATCGGGGTCCACACCTTCCCTCGGAACCTCCTTCGCTGTTCTATTGGAAATGGCATATGTAGTAGTGCCCGTTGGTTTTGGAATCAGAGTGTCCCAACTGTCTTTGCTGCAATCAGCCGTGGCAGAGGATGTGAAAGGCAGATATTCAAAAACAACGCGTTCTGGACGGATTGCCGAACGCGGTGCAGTTGTGTTGATGCATGGCGTGGTGGCCAAAGTGTGTAAGGACCCCCCTTGATTCACATCTGCCTGGTGTATACTGAGGCGGCGGCGGACACTAGCTGAGTACGGGGGCCGAAAACATTTGAACACTTGGTATGATTGGCAGGACAATTATCCTATTTGCGTTTGTGCATCCTGTGGATGGTTGTACCAAAAATTATTGTGCCTCTTGCTCCCAGTGTGTTTGTCCACCGCAGCGCGAGTATCATTTGATAACTTGTAAGGCACCCTGCGAGCGTAAGATGCGAACTCTACTGTCTCGAATGCTGCGCCTCTGGGATCGAGTAGTTTTGAAATCATTCCCATGATGTGTGCCGTCGCACGGTCGCCACAACATTTCGTTGATGAGAGCATGGCGGCTCATGGTCAGAATACAATAACGCGATGGTGCGGCTGCCCGCGGAGGGACGACGGGTTGCGCGCGTAGCCGCCGCCGGAGAGTCGCCAGAATACCACCCTGTGCGGCGGAATGCGGCTCGGCTTGGGCAGACGGCTCTTTCTTTTCCTCCTTGTCCTCTTGCTACTTCTCCTCCTCCTCCTCATTCTCCTCCTCGTCCTCCTCCTCCGCTTCCTCCTCCTCCTCCTCCTTCTCCTCCTCCTCCTCCTCCTCCGACACCTCTTCTCCTCCGCCTCCTCCTCATCTTCTTCCTCCGCCTCCTCCTCCTCCTACCACCTTCCCCCTCCTTCTCCCCCACCCCCACTCGATCTCCGCTCCTGCCGCGGGCTACGCGGCAGGACGGGGGAGGTGGTATAAGGAGGAGGAGGAGGAGGAAGAGGAGGAGAAGGAGGAGGAGGAGGAGGACGACGACGAGGACGAGGACGAGGGGGTGAACGAAGGAGCAGGAGCAGGAGCAGGAGCAGGAGCAGGAGCAGGAGGCGGAGGAGTAGGGAAGGAAAGTGGAAATGTCCGGCAGGCTCGGTCCGGTTCGACCATCGCCCCCGCGATTCATGCTTCATTCCCCATCCCCCCGGGTGGATTATTTTTCTTCCTTCATCGGGGAGGTCCACATTCGCGGCGACCCATTAAACCGGGGACCGTTGGAGGCGCATTCGCATTGATTTCATTCCTTCCGCGCGCGCATTGCCACAACATTTTGATTAGATTACACCTAGCACTTAAGGACAACTGGTACCATTATGTGCTAGCGCGCATCTGCTCCTAGAGTGAACCTGATCCTGCAGTACAGCCTGTCTTATCGAATTGCGATTGAGGCATTTAAGGAATCAGTACAGGCTCGTGGCTCAGGAATAAGGAAGCTCTGTATGATCGCGATTTGGGAGCACGGGAGCATAATATAATCCCGATCAGGGGCTCAAGAGACCGTATGCAATGTCGATTTCAGAATTTGATAACACAGTAGCGTGCATGTAATTCTATTACAAACCTTTAGTTCAGCCACTATTAGAGAGATGCTGCCTTACATTTACACTCTGGGCCCTCGCGCTTTTCCTCTGGTTGTTCTTCCCGAGTTAGGCAGGGGTAACTCTCGTCCCCGAACCTCTGGTCAATGATTTCTTTTGTCTTCCTCGGCGCGCCCTGGGAATGCTTTCTTTTTGGATGGCCCCTCATGGGTCCTATGTTGGAGTCGCCCATATGACGTTTGGACTCGAGGGGGGTCAGGCAGGCGCAGGAGCGGGGTAGATCGCTCCAGAGCGTTCTGAAGCGCGCTCGGAGCGCTCTGGAACCCGAAGAGGACACAACAACTGCACGAACATAAGCTTTCGGATCTTCTCGCGGATTATTTGGATTTGCGCTGCAACCCCACGGCGGCGCCGCCGGCGCGGCCACTGGCGCGCTCCGCGCGCCAGGAAGGGGGTTCAGTGCAGATCTAAGAAATCCGCGCGGACCTCCAATAGTTTATGTTTATGTCGCTTTTCTTCCCTCAGGAACGCATGCAGGCAGGCTCGGTCTGGTTCGCCTCATGCGTCAGGCCCAGAAACGGAATCGCTTCAGAGCATGCCTGAGCATTATCGGAGCGTTCTGGAGCGCCCTGGATAGGGCCGCGGTGCCTGCTACGTCTCGGGAGTTGCCAAGCAAGTAGCCCTGGCCCAGGATGTCCCCAGGATTCCCGGGGCCCAGATGGCCTCCAGAGCACCCTTCACGAGGCTCAAATGGCCTCAGGGATTCCAGAACGGCGCGAATTGCTGAGACACCTTGGGCCAGGACCCCTTCTGGCAGCGCCCGCACAGCCTCCAGAGCCACCAGGCCTCAGAGGTCCCCGACGTGTCCCGATCTGACTTCCTCCCGATCCTGGCTTTGCTCTCGGGGGCGCCTGCTCGCGCCTCCTGCACGGCTGCGCTCGAGGGAGAGGCATCGGCACAGGCGCGCCAGCTTCTCGCAGCCAGGCCGCCCCGAGAGCGCTCGGGGTCGCCCCGAGGACGCACCCAGTCCTTCGGCCCTCGAGCGAGGGGCCGGCGATCCCCCTGAGGCCGAGAGCTTCTGCTTAGCGCGTCGCCGCCGCAGCTTCTGGCACACCACGCCTCGGCGCAACACGCCAACAACGTCTCAGTCCCCAAACGTGAACGCTCCGAGCTGTTCCCCGCCTCCCGCCCCGCGGAGCGGGGCCACACGCTATCGGCTCTCAGGGCACAGCGTGTCGCCGGGGCTGCCGTCGCGACACGATGAGCACAAGCTCCCGACCGTAGTGGTGACCCTCCTTGGCATCGCCTAGAAGAAGCGAAATCCCAAGACCGGCATTCCGAACTCCGTCCAAAACTTGCATCACCGACGCGAGGGCGCCGTCGTCGTCGTCGGCTTGATCAGCATCGGCGCCGTCACTGGCCTTGCCGTCGTCGTTGTCATCATTGTCACCAGCATCGCTATCATCATCATTGCGTCTACCGATGTCGACGTTGCCATGCTACCGCACCCGCCCAAATCGCCGACTCGCATTGAAGTGTCCGCTGGGGGAAGTGCCCAGCTGTCAGCGCCACCGCGGCCGCTCTGGTAGCGCCGAACTACCTGGTCGCTGCGCGCGCGAGCATGCGCGAGCTAGCGCGGCCGCAGGGATGCACCAGCCAAATCCAAACACTCATCGCAGTCGCCGCCGCATGGGTTTTGCGAACCAGATTGCGGGTGGGTGGGTGGGATGATTGCGCGAGCAGTGCAGTGGACAACTCGCTGCGAACAGAAATTTATTCTCCTTTCTAAAAAGAGAATAGACTCTACCCCCCCTGGACTTATCGCTTCCCCCTGGGATAGTAGGATTTCATATATATATATATATATATATATATATATATATGTATATGTATATATATATATATATATGCTGCACACTCGTCCATCCTAAATATGATATCGTACCATCCCCGCCAGGCCGGGTTCCCCCCCCCTGAGGTTCCCTTGTAAAAACACTATGCGGCGACATGTTTTGTTCTAACATAGCACGTTTTCACGAATCCCTTGCAAACAAAAAACGAAGTGCACATGCGCGCGTCGTCGCGCGCGCATGCCGAAGTCCTTCAAAAACCTTCGGTGCCGGAAGGATTTCGCAATCGAGTTTCCAAAAAAACGTACAAAAGCACATGGTTTCGCAACACTGATTTGCTAAACGAACTTCCGCGCGAGCTCTTGCGATTTTTTCAAACAGAAAACATAGGTTTTTCAAGATTTTCACAAAATGCTACCAAACGGGCTTCGCGCGCGCGCATGTCGAAATCTGTCGAACGCCCTTGCGCGTGCCGTCGCGAGAATCCTTTGCAAAAAACGGGACGAAGTGCAGACGCGCGCGTCGTCGCGGGCGTATGCCGAAAACCTTCAAAACCCATCGGTTTCTGAAGGATTTCAAAATCGTGCGTCCAAAAAACCTACAAAAACCCTAGGTTTCGCAACACGGATTTTCAACAAAAGCGTGCGCGCGCGCTCTTGCGCCGTCGTCGTCGTCGTCGTCGTCGTCGTCGCCGTTCTCATTCCTCCCGCGTCGTCGTCGTCGTCGTCGCCTACGTCGTCCTCTGTCTTTTCTCGTGTTCGTCGTCGTCGTCCTCTTTGGCGTCGTGGTCGTTTCCGTCGTCGTTGTCGCCGTGGTCGTCCTTCCTCCTCCTCCCACGTCGTCGTCGTCGTCCGTCGTCGGCGTCTCGTCGTCGTCCCTCCTATTTCGTCGCCGTCGTCGTCGTCGTTGTCGTCGTCGTCTTCCCTCCTCCCTCGTCGTTGTCGTCGTCGGCGTCGCCGTCCTTCCTCCTTCGTCGTCGTTCGCGTCGTCGCCGTCCTCCCTCCTCCCTCGTCGTTGTCGTCGTTGTCGTCATTGTCGCCGTGGCCTTTCTTTCTCCTCCCTCGTCGTCGCCTTCGTTGGCGTCGTCGTCGTCGTCTTCGTCGTCGTCGGCGTCGGCGTCGTTGTCGTCGTCGAAGTCGTCGGAGACGTCGTCGGTGTCGTCCTAGTCGTTGTCGTCGGTGTCGTCGTAGTCGGTCTTAACAGGTTTTGCAAGCCAAGTTGCGGGTGGGTGGGTGGGATGTTTGCGCGAGCAGTGGAGTGGACAAATTCAAGTTGAGAATTGGTGGGTTGCACCACATCGATTGCACAACGTAGACTGTCAAATCACGTATTGTTTGGGGCCCACGCCGGCTAACATGTTATCCCCTGGCGGTATCATTCCCGGGCCAGCCACGGGCGCCATCGCCATCTCTCCGACAGCTCGTGCGTGTGCCGATGCCTCTCCTTCGAGCGCAGCCGTGCAGGAGGCGCGAGGAGGCGATCCAAGGAGTCCGTGCGGACCTTCAACAGTTTGTGGGCCATTGCCGGAGGTCGGTCTTTTAGTTCTGCGCGGCTGCGCGGCCGCCTGCGCCCTCCTCTCTTCCACATCCCCCTGTCTGGGCGCTATCACTCCTCGCCGTCGTTGTCCTCCTCGTCCTCCCTCTTCTCGGCGGCGCGCCAAAGAGAGAAGTTGGAGGTGGCAGCCGTTTTCAGAAGGCAGCGAGGTTTCTGAGAGGCCCCCTCGGCCGTTTGGAAAGTCCCCTGCGTGTTCGGAGAAGGTTCAGGAAGCTTCTCAGAAGGCCGAAGGCCTTCTGAGCCTTCCGAGAATTCCAACCCCCTTCTGCCTTCATTCCTGGGCGCACTCACCGCCGATCTTCTCCCCTCCCCCTCGCTTTGCACGGGATCAGCTGAGGGGGCTGGCTTCCGAGTGTCTCCTCGCTCAGCTCACCAAGAAGCGACGAGAGTATTTGGATCGGCTGGCCAGGGGGTTCAGACCCAAGGATCTCTAAGGCCGTCCTCTGCTGTGAAGCTTCGGTTCCTGTTCCGATTCCGTCACCGATTCCCTCCTTCTGGCCATGGGGCCGTGCAGGGGCGGCGCGCCGGAGAGGCAAGGGGGAGCGAGTCACCGGCCGCAGGTGCTGTTCTTCCTCATGTGGGCGATAGGCTCGCCACGGGGGAAGCGGGTCCCGAAGGGAGCGGGTCCTGAGGTTTGTTGCCGCCGTCGGGCCCTCGGGGCCCTCCACGGGCCCCGGGACTGTCAGGAAACGACTCCGGATGAAGACTTCTTCCCGGGGGGAAGTTCTGGGGTCCAGAACCCGTTTCCCTCAGGACCCGTTTCCCCCATGCCAAACAGGCGTCGGGGCGTTCATCGCCAGCTTGATGATGCTCAAGCTGTTCAAGCGCGAGTGGCTGCAGCAGACGGTCGTGCTCTTCATCCTGGGGGTGCTGTCGTCCCCTCAGTCTGCGCCGGCCGCGTGACAGGAACTGGTGGCTCACATGTTTGACGTGATAGGGGACAGGGCACACTCAGCCGAGATTCGTCGCGACTGGCTGCGCGTGAGACCCTGGGCAAGAGGGCGGGACCCGCCAGCCGCCCCCAAGGGAGTCGTCAGGTGAAGGCCTGATTTTCTGCAGGATGATTTCCTACCCTCGCGCTGGGCCGTACCGATCCCTGGTTCGAGCTAATTACGGGCGGGAAGTTCTGAATAGCCACCGCGTCTCCGGCTTTGACCCACCGCGTCTCGGTGCGCTATTCATTTCGCGGTCCCGAGACGTCCACGTGCCGAGCTTTTTTCGATTTTTCTGGCCCTTCGGAACGGAGCGACACGCTATCCGCTTGCACGGCATAGCGTGTCGCTGGGGCCGCCGCCACCGCGACAAGCTGTCCAAAAGTTCCCAACCGTCGCTGAAGCCTGTGGGCCGGACAACGCGGTCAATCTAGTACATCGAGTTGGCCTTTCGGCGTCTAAAGGTGGTCTCCCATGCCCCCCCCCCTTCTTGGGAAGCCATGGCTTGGTCGCTTGTAATTCTAGAGAGGGGTATACCACTGTAGCGCCTACGTGTTTCAGGAGCGATGCCGTGTCCTTCTCGTGGTGTCTGGGATTGCGATCGTTGGTGTGAGCAGCAGGGTGCTCAGGTATTCCGGCGTGATGGAGAAGGCCGGCCTGAAGGACGACGTGGGGGCCGTCGGTAGATCTTTCAGCATGTGGATGTGCATCGACCCGCATCTGTTGCTCTACACCATGCTCCCGCCCTTGCTTGCCGGGGACGCCATGGGTATCGATACGCGCGTGGCTTTCAAGGTGGCGAAGCAGTGCTTCTACCTCGCAGGGCCGGGCGTGCTCGTCAACGCATCCTTGACCGCCGTGGCGCTGCAGTCGTTGCACGACGAGTGGCCGTGGTGGCTGTGCATGACGGCGGGTGCGATTCTGTGCGCAACTGATCCAGTTGCCGTAGTCAGCCTGCTGAAGGAATTGGGAGCATCGCCCACACTCACAGTTCAGATCCAGGGCGAATCCCTGCTGAACGACGGCACGGCCATCGTGCTGTACTCGTTTGCGTACGCCTTCCTGTCTAAGAAGGACACCTCGGATCCAGGAAACATGGTCCTCACAGGGGTAGCAATGACACTCTACTCGTGGGGGGTCGGCTTCGCCATCGGCATCGTGTACTGGCGGACAGGGCCTCCAAACGTCACCGTCCTTTGCCCCTCATCTTGCGCCCCAATCCACTTCTCCTTTCGTTCCCAGATCCCACCTCGGGGCTCCGTGCATCCCTCCTCATACCCCCTCCAGTGAGGTAGAAGGAACTGCAGCAGTGCGGAGCGTGGGAGGGGGAAAAGGAGAAGGAGGAGGAGGAGGAGGTGGAGGAGGAGGAGGAGGTGGAGGAGGAGGAGGAAGAGGATGAGGAGGCTCTCGTTCTCCTCTTCCTATCTGCCGTTTCGCTCCCCTCTGGGGCCATGCCATGCATTCCCATTCCCCATCCACCCCTCCACTCCGCTTCCCCTTCGTTTCCCCTCTTCCCCGTCCTCCGCGTCGTCGCCGTCCTCCTCCATTGGGCCACTCATATAGTTTCTCTTCACGGTCACACCGCAATGGCACTTCTGGGGGTAGCCATTGAGGCCCAGACGGCCGTCGAGGCCATCCCGGAAAATGTTGCCCTCCTCCTTATCCACCAGGAGTGGAGTGCATGGAAAGTGAGAGGAAGAGACGGGGTTGAGGGAGTCTGAGAGAGGGGGGGGCACCAGCCAGACGGCGCTTATGGGAACATGAGGTAAAGGAGACGCGTTGGAGAGGAGAGCAGAGGGGAGTGGGGAGGAAGAGAAGAATAGACGAGGGGAGGAGTCCTCTCGCGCGATGATGACACCCCAGGTTGTGGATCTGGGCCGTGAACAGCAAGTTCCACCACCAGAGCGCCGTGATCCAGATTGCCCTCACGCTCGCGTGCGCATACTCCAGCTTCTTAGTTGCCGAGGGGCTGCTTCACCTCAGCGGGGTGCTGGCCACCGTCTCCTCCTCGCTGGTCCTCGCGCACAACATGTGGCCGCACGTGCAAAACCACCACACCATGCACACCGTCTGGCACATGTTCGAGTACCTCGGGAACACCATCATCTTCTTCCTCGCCGGGGCCCTGACGGGGCAGAAGCTCTGGAGCGTAACGTGGGGCGACTGGATGAACCTCGGCCTGATCTACGTCGCGATCACGGTCATCCGTGGCCTGATCATGTTCTGCTCAAGGCCGCTCCTCACCGTCCTGCACGCCGACCGGGCCGAGGTGTCCGTGGCCGACTGCATGGTCATGACCTGGGGAGGACTCCGCGGGGCGGTGGGCCTCGCCCTAGCCATCCAGGTCTTGGGGAGAGACTCCGCCTCCTGCCTCCTCCCCCTCGTCCGCTCCCTCGTCCGCTCCCTCCTCCTCCTCCTCCTCCTCCTCTTCCCCGCTCCCCCTCCTCCCGCTCTCCCCCTCCTCCCCCTGTCTTCCTCCCCCTTTCCGACTCCCTTCCTCCCTCTCAATTGAGGCGGCATTGGCAGACAGGAGTCCGTTCTGACGAGACTACTCTCACCTGGGAGGCGTTCAGGCCGGAGTACCGCCAGGAACTTCCTGACCCCGCCCCTGCTGCACCCTTCGTCCCGATTGACGAGGCACTCACTCATTTCATCTGCACCTGACCTGCCGCCAGGGCGGGCGGTCTGGACGGATGGACCACCAAAGAAGCAAAGGCGCTGCCAGGCGGCTTACGCCTCTTTGCCAAGGCCCTGAGGGCCACGCAGCCCACGGGGACAGTGTCGGAACCGGCCCTCCATATTCCGCACCCTTGCCTTCGGAACGGGAAATGGGGGAGTGCCCACCGACCAACGCTCGCTCTCTGTCATGTCCGTATGGATGTATGCCTGGGAAGCATCAGCTCACCGCAGCCTGGCGCCATGAAAAGCACAATAGACCCACCCGACGAGCTCCAGCGCGGTACCACACGCCACCATTGGAAATGTCATTGCCAAGCTGGCTCTCCTGGTGTAGCACGCGCACCACCTCCAGGTGCCGCTGGCGGGGGCGGCATTCGACAGGCAAAAGTGCTTCGACCACCTTGTCATGCACATCTGCCCCAACCTGGCTTTGCACGCAGGGTGCCTGCCCGACATCGTCCAAGTCAGGATATACTGTTGTGACAACCACCACAGGTACATTCGCATGGGGTGGGGGCACACGGCGCACTCCAGACTCTGGTACGCACTAACAGTCACTAACGGCCACCTTCAAGGTAGCTCCTTCTCCCTTGGTGACATCAAAGTGCTGATTTGCGGATGGACCAAGAGAAAGCACCGGTACGTGCCACGATCCCTGAGCATCACGTTCTTTGACAACAGCAACTTCACGGCGCCTACCGCCACAGAGCCACGAATCTCCTTCGATGAGACTGGTTTTTTCGACTGCCTGCCAGGCCAAAAAATCCACCCGGGAAAAGTGATAAACTAGACGGTAGGCGAGGAGTTCCACCAACAGGTGGCGCTTCTACAGCTGAACGGACACCCCCTGCAAGCCCACCACCATGCTAAGCTTGTAGGAGGCTACATTCACGTGACACCAGCAGTGGACGACGCCGACTTGAATCTGGCGGCCACCGCGGGTGGCAGGGTACGACGTGCAGTCGCCAGATTCCCACGTACAGGACGTCGCCCGGAGGGCACCCATTCGCGAGCTCGATCGGTTAGGTCTCTCGTATCTAGCATGTGCACCACTGGTACGAGCATCCAAGCCCCTAGCACGAGAGTGCAAAACCTCTACGCTAACGCGATCTTCGCTGCCATACGGCCCAGAGGGCGATCCTGGATTTCACAGTGGGCCCTCTTCGCTCCTGTTGTCCCTGGGCATGCCGTCGAGCTGGGTGCCATCACCCAAAGGGAAGCCCCGCCCTGGCTGCGAAGAGAACTGCGGAGAAACACCAGCCTCAACGCCAAAGCCGAAGAGCTGCGCGACCATGCGCAAGCCTTCCAAGGGGGGGAGGCTGTAGGCAGGGTCTGGCAAACCATCGCACAACTGGAATTGAGCTGGCCATCATTTGGCACAATGTATGATGACTAGGGCATCCGCCTCTCGTGGCTACACCTTACCAGCCGGCCTGTTCACACACACACACATGCTTCGAGCCTCGCAGATAAGGTTCTTCTTCCTGCAATACTCACCGCCAGACATGACCTTGGTGCTATCATCTTGGTCAAGCAGGGCCTCGAGCACTTTGCTAACGCTTGGTAGCAAAGAACTAGAACCAGGTACAAGGTCAAACGCATGGCTTGGCAGCTCGGCCTGTTTTGCAATTGCATGTGTGGATGTGGCCGCGCACAGCAAGGAAAAGTCTGCGCGGGCATCTAGGCAGACCCATCACCGTTGTAAATGGCGGAGCCAAGAATAATAAGCCCAAGAACACGCAGTCTGGAAATGCTCTGCTGGGAGTCGGACAGGGCAGCCTTGAAAATCGTGACCGCGGGGCAACGATCGAGTGACCTCCCGCCCGCTCCTCGCCAGGGCGGGCTTCGGAGTTTACTACCGGCTGGATCACCGGCTTAACCGCTCCGCTCGAGCACATGACCTGGCCCAGTCCGCACAAGTGGCGGAGATTCTCGCCATCTTCCACCTTGTCGTCGCTATTGCGGAGCGGCGTGTCCATACTTTCGTCGACAGCCAAGCCATCGTCGACGGATCCGAGGACCGTCTCAAATACAAGCCACCGTAAGCCACGGGGACCCAGGCGGACCTTTTGGCAACAATTACACCACTTGCTTCAAGCGGAACCACGCGCGTGCAAGGCCCAAAAAATAGAAATTCACTTCGGCGAGACAGGCGCAAACGAAGGCCGCGTCGCACATATCGCTGAGGTTGTCAGCCGTCATGCGGACGAACTCGCCGCTGCTGGAGCACGCCTGCACGCATTGCAGCCTTTTCTCATCGACGCAGTTCAATGGCGACGCAAGTTCGCGGCGGCGTTGCACAGCACCGCCGGTGCGCGATCTACGATCGGTGCCACCGTGCTCTTCCTCTGTCAGACCGATTGGCGGGCTACTTTAAGACTCTAGGGCCGAACTCAGCAGGATGAAGCCCAACCCGCTGACCATAGGGCCATAGGGCAAGGAAGACACGTGCCACCAGGCTCACCGGAGGGCCCCGCTCAGCCGTACGGTCCAGCAGGGCCTGGCTTCTTCGACGATCTCGACGATCCCAGGGGAACCCCACCCGACGATTTCGAAGGCAGAAACCAGGACCCACTCGGGCTCGGAGCGTCCTTAAACGACGACGATGGGCACACAGCTGCTCCAGCGCGAGGTCACACTAGCCACGGGCACGACGCCGACGACGAAAGCACAGCTTGGCGTCAGCCTAGACTATCAGACGCTCTGGCTCCCGCGGCGGACGTCCACCAGGACCAAGCCGCCACGGCCAATCTGCCCGACCGTCAGGTGGCTTTTCCTTCCCACCAGGGTGCGGGGAACAGCGGTCCGTCTACATCCACAGGCGGAGAAAGGCTTCGGCCAAACGGTGACGCAGCGAACGGATCGAAGGCTAGCTTTCACGCACGACCTCGAGGCTGCAAGGCATCAGCCAGAGCGTGAACGCGAAACGGCCCTCATCGCTAGCACCACGGCGCTACTGCAGCGAGCCAGCCAATTGCTCGAACCATCCACTCTATCCAGGAACTGTATATTCCCCTGCTAGGCAGGTCCCACCGCCTTACGCCCTACTGCTTCTCTTCGGGTTTCGCTCCATGGAAACCTCCAGGCGTACCTTGGTTCTCACCGCGCAGGACACCAGTGCCAGCGTCCTCTCTCCCAAGTGCGCTGCGAGAGAAATTGGCAACTGCTCCGTGGCTGCAGCATTGGGCCGCCGAGGGGGATGCCTCAAGGCGGCGCCACGGTTCACTGAGGTACCGAGGCGCGCACGCCAAAGCGCACTAGCAGCCGGCGCCTGTTTCCCGGGTGTGCAGACGGGCCTTCGAGTGGCTTGTTCGCCACTTATCCGCTTTACTTCCCAGTCGGGGTCCTTCCGACCGCGCCATGTGGGAGGGTACCACCCACCGCTGCTCTTTCAGCGGCGCCTCCCGCCATGTGAGGCGAAAGGCCTGCGCTGACCTAGCCCGCGGCGAGGCCTGGACCAGACCTGGTCCGAACTGGTGCGCCCCCTTCCCCCTCCCTCTCCCCCTCCTCCTCCTCCTCGTCCTCCTCCTCCTTCTCCTCCTCCTCCTCCTCCTCCTTCTCGTCCTCCTCCTCCTCCTGCTCCTCGTCGTTGTCCTCGTCCTCCTCCTCCTCTTCCGCCTCCTCCTCCTCACCTTCCTGCTCCTGCTCCTCCTTCTCCTCCCCCTCCCCCTCCCTCCCCCTCCTACTCCCCCTCCTCCATCCTTTTCCTGTCGCACCCCGAGGCCGGTCGAAAGGGTGGGCCGGGCGTTTCGCTTGAGGCTTCCTCACCATTTCTGATCCTGAAGCTTAGTGTGCAAGAGCTTCGCAGATGGAGGGCGGCCCGTTTTCAAAATGTTGCTCACGCCTTAGCGCCGCGCGCATTTCTTTTAAGAGTTTGCAGCAGCTTCGACGGTTTTTAATGTTCCAGAAATGGTGTTTTGGCACGGTGTCTGAATCTCAGGACGCAACGGTCACGTTGATCCGCGGTGTTGAAGTCCCAGGAATGGCGTTCTGGCGCCATTCAGTCAGGATCGTCAACACGCAATAGTAATGGTGATTCGCGGCGTTGATTTACCAGGAATGGCGCCCTGGCACAATTGTGGATTTTCAGAAGGTTGTCTTCCAACGGGGCACGTCCCTCAGTGAAAAACAATCCGTGTAGGGGCCCACGAAGAGGGAGCTTGGGGGGACGGTGTATTGCAATATGTCTTGGGTTCACTGGTCCTCCTCCTCCATCTCCTCCTCCTCCTCCTCCACCTCCTCCTCCTCTTCCTCCTCCTCCTCCTCCTCCTCCTCCTCCTCCTCGTGGGGTACTGGTGCTCCTCCTCCTCCTCCTCCTCCTCCTCCTCCTCAGCATCCCCCCTCCTCTTCCTCCTTCCTCCTGTTGCTCCTCCTCCTTCTCCTCCTCCTCCTCTTCCTCCTCCTCCTTCTCCTCCTCCGCCTTCTCCTCCTCCTCCTCCTCCTCCTCCTCCTCCTCCTCCTCCTCTTTCTCCTCCTCTTTTTTGTTTCCTCTTCCTCCTCCTCCTCCCTCCTCCTCTTCCTCCTCCTCCTCCTCCTCCTCCTCCTCCTACTCTCCTCCTCTCTCCTCCTCCTCCTCCTCCTCCTCCTCCGCTCCTCCTTCTGACGTTGAGCGAGCACAGGCTGCACAGCTGTTGCGTTCAACCTCCTCCTGCTTATCCCCCTCCTCCCCCTCCTCCTCCTCCTCCTCCTCGCCTCCTCCTCCTCCTCCTCCTCCTCCTCCTCCCTCCTCCTCCTCCTCCTCTCCTCCCCCTCCTCCTTCTCCTCCTCCTTCTCCTCCTCCTCCTCCTCCTCGTCCTCCTCCTCCTCCTCCTCGTCCTCCTCCTTCTCCTCCTCCTCCTCCTCTTTTTCTTCCGTCCCGCACGTTCGTGCCGCGCCAATGCAACGGCGGCCCCGGCGCGGGCGCTCAAGCCGACATCGTGCGATCCGCTCCGCCGGAACGCCGCGATCGTTCCGTGCTTTTTGGCGCCCCCTTTGGGGCGCCGCAGTGCGGTGTCGGAGCCCAGCGCGGTCCACACGGTGTCGAAGACCAGCGGTGGTGGAGCGGGGGAGGAGGAGGAGGGGGAGGAGGAGGAGGAGGAGGAGGAGGAGAGAGGAGGGAGGAGGGAGGAGGGGAGGAGGGGGAGGAAGGGGAGGATGGGGAGGGGAGGGGAGGGGAGGGGAAGGGGAGGGGAGCAGGAAGGAGAGGAGGAGGAGGAGGAGGAGGAGGAGGAGGAAGAGGAGGGAGGAGGGGATGACAAGCTAGGTGCGCTCGCGTCAGAGCTGACGTCCTACCCCTCCCTCCCATCCCGTATCATGGCGTAGATCTCCTCTCTATTCGCACAGTCGGATATCGTAGCAGGGCATAACATTACATGGCGTAGCATGGTGTTGAAGATCAACGCGTATCCTCACATAGCATGGCGTGGCGACGCCCCCAAGTGGGGGGGCTTCTGCGGCCCGAAAAGTCAACGAATCGACACCGAACGTGTAGTCACTTCCGATGGTTGTTTCGGGGGGCCATTTTCTAGATGTTGGGGCCTTTCTGGAAGGACCGAAAACCATGCCGTGGCATGGTGCTGAAAATAATGACGCCAGCGCTGCAGCGGGAGTACGATTCGGAACGAGCGGAAGCGCGGAAATGAGGCCAGCGCTGCAGCGGGAACACGATTCGGAGAACGCGTAGGACCGAAAACCATGCCGTGGCTGGGCGCTGGAAATATTGACGCCAGCGCTGCAGCGGGAGCACGATTCGGAACGAGCGGACTCGCGGAAATGAGGCCAGCGCTGCAGCGGGAACACGATTCGGAACGAGCGGTAGCCCGAACATGAGGCTAGCGCTTCAGCGAGAGCAGAATTGTGAGAAAACTCAGCGAATATGTAAAACACAAAAAACAATGCGCGGGGGGGGTGCCAAATATATCCCGGACGTCGCCAGGGGAGAGAGGATAGTAGCATTCACATTGTGTAATTGTGGAGGAGGAGGGAGGAGGGGGAGGAGGAGGGAGGAGAAGGAGGAGGGAGGAGGAGGAGGAGGAGGAGGAGGCTACGATGGACGCGGTGTCGGAGGCCAGGACGAGCCAGTGGAACGATCCATGCGGTCTTGGAGACCAGCACGCGAGCGCGCGAGCCCTTGCGGCATAGGCCTGCCGCAGGCAGGGGGGAGCGGTTGTATTGGGAGGGGGAGTCAGGGGCAACGACAGGGGGGGATAGGCATAGGGGGGGGGATGCATCGAACCCCCCGATCGCCCACTGATCGCCGATGGTCTGATAGTCCCACCCCGCCCAGGAGCGGGCGGATTTGCAATCGGGGGCCTATCGCCGACTCTAGGGCGATGTATCCGATGTTTTTCGCCGTTTCTAGGGCGATGCAATCGGGGGCCTATTCGCCGATTCGATCGCCGAATCTATCGGCTATGTATCGCCGATTCTAGGGCGATGTTTCCCCTCCTCTGCCAGTTCCCCCTCCGATCGCTGCCCCTCAGGGAGGGTGAGGCACACGGCCTGTGCTCTTGCTGTTGCTGCTGGTGCCTATGGAGGATACTGCTGTTACTGTTGTTGATGCTGTTGTTTCTCGTTGTTCCTTCTCCTCCTCCTCCCTCCTCCTCCTCCTCCTCCTCCTCCTCCATAAAATCAGTAGTTGAGGCTGCCTGCTTTGGGGAGGGGTGTGTACAGTGTGGTTTCGGCGGTTGGTGTTAAACATCCTCCTCCTCATCACCCTCCTCCCTGCTAGTTCGATGTCTTTCTTTTGCATGTGCACAGATCTGTGTATACTTCTGTGTATTTACGCTACCCAGGTCTCCATCGACCGCGCCGCCGACGACAGTGGTCATGAACACATCAGCGAGGAGGATGCGGACCGCGTCTTATTCTACGTTGGAGGCGTGGCGCTTCTGACGCTCATCATCAATGCTACAACGTGCCCCAGCCTTGTCAAGAAGCTGGGTCTCACGAAGACGCCAGAGGCAAAGATGAAGCTGATGAGCCTGATCGGCGAGAAAATCCACCGGCACATGCAAACAGAGATTGCATGCCAGCAGGACGTGACGCCCAGGGTCACAAGGAAGCTCAGCGAAATGCTGCACGACATGGATGACCACCTTCATCATGTCCAGGGCTCCGACACGACCAAGGACACCCTCGACGTCTTACAGGCATCCTCCTCCCCCACCTCCCTCTCCCTCCTCCCTCGTCCCCTGTCATTCGTCTCACCTCCCTGCCCCCCCCGTCCCTCCTCCCCACTCGTTCTCCTTCTGTCTCCTCCCTAATTACCTCCCTCTCACTTCTTTCTCATCCCTCCCTCCCCCATCCCTCCCTCCTCCTGTCTCCTCCCTTCCCAGTCCCCCTCTCTTCATGATTCTCCCTTGCTCATCCTTCCTACCTCCTGCCTCTTCCATCTCTGCTGACTCCTGCCTGTTCTCCCCCTCCATCTTCTATCCCTCCTGACTCGCGCCTCTTCTCCTTCTTGCCTCCTGCCTCCTTCCCTCCCTCCCTCCCTCCCACTTGCCCTTTCCATCCCGCTTCCCCCCCCACATCCCTCCTTCCGCCATCCTTCCTCCCTCATCCTGCCTCATTCTCCCTCAGCATGTCTTCTCCTCCCGCCTCTTTCTTGCCGATGCTATGGGACCCCCGTCTGAGAGCGGCACACTCCACAGCAGCAAGATCACAGGAACAAATCAGCCCAGCGGGAACTTTCGCCCTCACACCCCCCATGAGGGACACCGCGGGCCATCCTCTCGATGGCCCCCTCTTGCCGTGGGCCCCTGGAGCCTTGCAGGGGAGGCGAAGCCCTTCGGGCTGCCTCACACCCTGGGCGTCACACCTCTGGCCTGCGACCCCAGGGTGCGAGGCATCGAGCAGGGCTTCCTCTGCCTCAAAATTGATGAGCTTGGGCCCCTCGCTCTCCTCCTCCTCCTCCTCCTCCTCCTCCTCCTCCTCCTCGTCCTCCTCCTCCCCGCTCCTCCTCCTCCTCCCGCCTCCTCCGCCTCCTGAGGCCGAAGGTCGGCATCCCTCTCCGCACTCTCCAGGGGGTGCAATTGTCTGGCGAGTGTACCCACTTTGTGGGGGTGGCGCCCCGCTCGTGTTCCTTGGTTGAGCTTAAAACAACGGTTGGCATCCACCGCACGACTTCGCGATCAATCCCCCACTGATTGGCGACGCGGGGGCCACAGAGCGGCAACATGAGCACCACGGACGGGCAGGAGGAGGGGGCAACCAGAACGTGGCCGAGCGGAGGACACGCGACCTGGAGCCGGGCCGTGCGCGCAACACGCATGCGCTTGCTCACGCGCAGCGTGTCACGCGCGTTCTCTATCGAGCACGCTGCGCCCCGCCAAGTGGCTGAGGAACGTGGCCGTGGCGAGCCTCGGCCTCCGCCCGCCCTGCCCGCCCTGCCGGATCGTCGCGCCTCTCTCTCTCTCTCTCTCTCTTTTGTTCGCTCTCGCTCTCTCTCTCTCTCTCGTTCTCTCCAATCTATATGTGTGTATATCTTGATGTGTACATATATATATATATATATATATATATATCTTCGGGGCCCGGCGGGCCTCCGCCCGCCAAAAGGGCCGTCAAGGGGGCCCAGAGACCACCAAAAGGGGTCCTCAAGGGAGCCAGAAAGCGCCACAGCGCTCTCAGCACGCCGACCATTGCTTCGAGACGGCTCACGTGGCCCCCAAGACGCACCAAGAGAACGTCCAGCTGATCCCCGAGAGAGGTCCCAGGGGCGAACATCATTGATGATCTCTGGGTTTTCCAAGGATTTTCGTGTGGTTGCCTGATCCGCTGCCCGACGCCCGTAGAAAGAGGCACCCAAGAGGACCCCAAGACACCCCAAGAGGGCGCCAAGACGGCCCCAGAGGCACCCAAAATCACCCCAGAGGGCTCGGGGCGGCGCCCTAAATGAGCTCGGACACGCCACAAGGGCCCTAAACGAGGCCCTCGGGGCTCCAAAACGGCCCCAGCACACCCATCATTGCTCCGATGCGGGCTCAGGGAGCCTTCGAGGCGCACCAAGAGGACTTCGGCGAAAATCGTTGATTTCCCTTGGGTTTTTCCCTACCTAGGCTCTGCCTAGAAGGGTTCTTACTCTCTAGCTTAAAGGGGCCGGGCAGTGGAAAGCGCCCCGGGCGGTTCCCCCAGTCCCCGCCCCGCGGTTCCCCCCAGTCCCCTGGGAGCTTTAGCTTTAGCTTTAGCTTTAGCTTTAGCTTTAGCTTTAGCTTTAGCTTAGCTTTAGCTTAGCTTTAGCTTAGCTGTAGCTTAGCTTTAGCTTAGCGTTTCGCTTAGCGTTTCGCTTAGCTTTTCGCTTAGCGTTTAGCTTAGCTTTAGCTTAGCTTTAGCTTAGCTTTAGCTTAGCTTGAGCTTAGCTGTAGCTTAGCTTTGCTTAGCTTTAGCTTAGCTTTAGCTTAGCTTTAGCTTAGCTTGAGCTTAGCTTTAGCTTAGCTGTAGCTTAGATTTAGCTTAGCTGTTGCTCAGCTTTAGCTGAGCTTAGCTTTAGCTTAGCTTTAGCTTAGCTTTAGCTTAGCTTTAGCTTAGCTTTAGCTTAGCTTTAGCTTAGCTTTAGCTTAGCTTTAGCTTAGCTGTGGCTTAGCTGTGGCTTAACTTTAGCTCAGCTTTAGCTCAGCTTTAGCTTAGCTTTAGCTTAGCTTTAGCTTAGCGTTACTGTTACTACTAATGCTGTTTTCCTAGGGGTTCCAACTCCTAGGTAGGGTCGCACTGGGATAATTCAAGGCTTCCGGTGTGGTCGCCTGCTCCGCTGCTCGATGCACGGAGACGGCACAAGATGCGCCCAACAGGGCTACAAGACACCCCAAGCGGGCGCCAAGACGGCCCACGAGACGCCAAGAATCGCCCAAGCGGGCTCCAGATGGCTCCCCATATTAGTTTAGACTTGCCACAAGGGTCCTCAAGGAGGCCCACAGGGCTCCAAAACGGCCCCAGCACGCTCACCATCGCTCCGATGCGGCCCACCAGGCATCCAAGACGGTCCAAGAGGGCTATGAACTGCTTTCCGAAACAGCCCCGATAGGCAAACATTATTGATGTTCCTTTGGTTGTTCATGAATTTTCCAGTGGTCGACTGCTCCGCTTCCCGACGCTCGGAGACGGCACAGGAGGCGTGCACGAGGGCTCCAACGCGCCCCAAGGCGGTGCCAAACCGGCCCAAGAGGCGCCCAAGAGCGCCTAAGCGCGCTGCAGGCGGCTCTCCATATGAGCCTGGACACGCCAAGAGTGCCGTAAAGAAGGCCCGCAGGGCTCCACAACGGTCCCAGAACGCCCACCAAAGATTCACAGAAGCCTCCACAAGAGCTTCCACACGGGCGCGAATTCAGGTTCCCAGAGAGCCTTCAGGGCAGCTGAAAACGCGCCCGTCATCGGAGCAGGAAGTTCTCCAGTATTTTTTGAGACCCCTCCGCGAACATTCTATACATATGTGATATTGTATGTATGCATGCATGTATGTATGTATGAATGAATGCATACAGTACACGCATGCATGTATGTTTGTATATAGATATATACATACATAGCTGTATGTGTGATTATGCATGTGCGTGGATGTATGTATGCATGCACTCATGCATGTATGTGTTTGTTCATGCATGTATGTAAGTGCGTATGTCTGTATGCATGTGTGTGTCTATGTATGTATGGTTGCATGCAGACATGTATGTTTGTGTGCTTGAATGTACGTATGTATGAATACATGCATAGATGTATGCATGCATTTATGTATAGATGTATGTGTGTGGATGTGTGTGTATGTGTGTATGTGTGTATGCGTATGTATATATATACGTATGTATGTGTAGTTATGCATGCATGTACGTTGTATGTATGTGCGTATGTATGTACGTAGATGCATGTATGCGTGCATGTTTGTATGCATGTGGTTGTGTGCATATGTATGTATGTATGTATGTAGGAGTGAGTGAGTGCATGTATAGCTGCATATACGCATGCATGTATGTACGCATGCATGTATGAATGTATGTATGTATATCTGTATGCATGTATGTATGTATGCATGTATGGTTGCATTCATGTAGGTATGTGTGTACGTATGTATGTGTTTATGTATGTATGTACATGTGCACGCATGTGTGTGTGTGTGACTGTCTATATGTGTGTATGTACGTATGCATAAATGCATGCATGTATGTGTGTATGTGTGTACGCATGTATGTATGTATTAAAGGATGTATTGATGAATGGATGTATGGATGGATGTATGGATGTATGTATGTATGTTTTATGTATGTATGTATTCCCCACATGGTTCGTGGGATTATGGTTTTCTGTCCTGCCGTGTCGCACCCGCGTCTCCCTCCTCCCCTCCTCCTCTTCCTCCCTCCCCTCGCCCATGCTCAACGCAGGCACGGCGCGTACATGAGACACGCATCTACACACAGGTGCACGCGTGCACACACTCGCACACACATTATACAACGCCAGTGCGTGCCTGGCGTGTTCACTGTATCACACACCCATGCAAGACGTATGCACCACACACTGGGCACCCAGATGAGGCACACGTCCATATACGACCGCACACGCATCATACACATACACATGGGACGCCATACGCAAGACATACGTGGACGATTCGCAGTGCATGATAGGCATGGCACTTTCTCGACACCACAGGGGGTGCGCATAGGGTAGTCCCCCAGCGCGCCCTCTATCCGTGACGCACTCGCAGGGCGTGGCGGGCGTGGCACTTTCTCGACGGGTGCGCAGGGGGTGGTCCCTCAGCGCGGCCTCTATCCGTGACACGCTCGCAGTGCATGGCAGGCATGGCATTTTCTCGACGCCGAGGGGGTGCGCAAAGGGTGGTCCCTCAGCGCGGCCTCTACCCGTGACGCGCTCGCACGGCGTGGCAGGCGTGGCATTTTCTCGACGCCAGAGGGGGTGCACAGGGGCTGGTCCCTCAGCGCTGCATGTATCCGTGACACGATCGCAGGGCGTGGAGGAGTAGCATTTCCTCGAGTGCGCAGAGGGTGGTCCCTCAGCGCGGCTTCTATCCGTGGCACGCTCGCAGAGCGTGGCAGGAGTGGCATTTCCTCGTCACCACAGGGGGTGCGCAGAGGGTGGTCCGTCAGCGCGGCTTCTATCCGTCGCACGCTCCCACGGCGTGGCAGGAGTGGTACTTTCTCGA